CATTTGTTGTTCATAATTGTATTAGTCTGTGTTTGTGTTGCTATAACAGAATACCTGAGACTGGGTAGTGCATAAGGAAAAGAGCTTATTTGGCTCACAATTCTGGGACAGCTGCATCTGGCATGGGCCTCAGGCTGCTTCTACTTACAGCAGAAAGCAGCAGGCAGTAGAGGGTACAAGCAGATCACATGGCAAGAGGAAGCAAGAGAGAGAGGGGAGGTGCCAGGGTCTTGTAAACAACTAGCTCTCATGGGAACTAATAGAGTGAGAACTCACTCCCTACCCCCATGCCCCAGAGTGAGCATTAATCCATTCATGAGGGATCTGCCTCCATAACCCAAACTGTTCCCAACACTGTCACATTGGGGAGCAAATTTCCACAAGAGTATTGGGGGACAACACATCCAAACTCTATCAATAATTATCAAATAATTGTGACACATAAGACTTGAGGAAACTGAAGGTTGATCTGCTACCCCAGTTCCTCGGAGGTCGTAGTTCTGGCTGTCTTGCTAATTTTTGAAAACCACGCGAAGACCATTTCCCTCTGGGCCTTTCACTTGCTCCAGCTGTGAAAGAAGTCTGGTCATTCTTTAAGACTTTCTCATTTTCAACACTTTCCCACTCCCAGATTTTCAAGAAACTTTAAGTATGATAGATGCTCTGTATTAACAATGTGATATTTTTATGAACCTTGGGGATCACAAATTAGAAACAAGGAATGGTCTTCATATGTTACTGGTGTGTTCAGTATTCAAATGAAGTAATACACACCATAGTCCTAATACAACAGTACCTTTTGTTTGGGGGCAATTTGCTTAAAATTATGTGTTTCTCATAAGTTCATAAAAAATGGCCTTGGTAGACTGCCACTTGCCACATGGGAATATCCCAACTTTCCTGGAGCTGCAGGAAAAACACCCACACACTGGCAAACACCGATCTAAAGTTCAGATCTTTTTATAGTAACATAGAGGCAGGCATATTAAATTATTATGCCACATTTCTGCCAGGTTTTGACTTTTCAAAAATTCTGTTATAAAACAACCAAAGTAGTTCTCAAGCCCTGCAGCTTGCTGAAGAGTCTGAAAGCATAATCTATATGTGTTAACTAAGGCATCTGCCAACACCTTGGGCAGGCAGGCAGGTAGCAAGGTGAGTAGATGAGATTGCCACACTACATAGGAGAGCAGTCAGGCATCAGGAAGACAGGGACTTTATCAGTCAAGGCCAGGAAGAGTCTCTCTTGGAGCTGGGGCTGAGGATCTCATGTGTTCCTGGTTACCAGCCTGCGTTCAGCACTCCTTTCTGGTTTTAATCCTGTTGGGCTAGATCCTCTCTCTCCTTTGAAGTCCCAGGGCTGCTGGGCAGGGAGAATCCTATGCCTTAGCCTTTGTCATTCATACTTTAACTGAAGAGATGATGAAACCTGCCTGTAGCTAAGTCCAAGTGGGGGACCAAAGACTTGCTGTGGGTCTGTAGCTTGGTTTTCTTCTGAAGAACAGTGTTTAGTGATCATTCTTACTGAAGTAGGTCTCTGAAAACTATCTTTCAGCTTCTTTTTTACTCCCCCTAATTGTTAAAATGTGTTACATTGTCATGCGTGTGTGTGTGTGTGTGTGTGTGTGTGTATGTGTGTGTGATTTTGTTTGTTTCCTTTTCCTGAGCTGTACTTAATTCTAGGTGTTTGGCAGCCTTTGTTTAGTTAGAATCATCTGGGGGCATACTTTTTTTTTACTGCTCTGTCTTTTCACAGTGTGGACTGTACTTCACTCCTTTTGAAATGTTTATCCTGAAGCTTCCTCATTTTTAGGATTTTTTCTCTCTCATGAACTGAGTGGTTGCTTTTGATATTCTGAATTATATCACCTTCCTCATTTTTGTGCAATATTAACTTTGAGAAGAATTTTAAGATATAAAGATAGAATATGTACCTTCCCTATCTCTAGCACTTGTAAGGTTTTTTCCCCCTCGATTGATCTCAATTAACTGATTCTTTTTCTTTAGAAAACCATGTGCTAAAATAATACTTTGCTAGATGTGAGAATGTATTCCTTCCCCTACAACCTCACACTTAAGCCTCATTTTAGTTCTAATATTTTGATTTTTTTTTTCAATCTTATGCTATATTCACTTGGTCATTGGCTTTGTTTGCAAGAATATCTTACTTTATCTTGGGGAGATATTAATATTATAAAGTTATTGCTTTTTTCTTGTTGTAGTTCTTCTTTTATTTTGTAATTTAAAATTTAGCCTGTTCCATGTACATAACCTGTTTTTGCCAGTTTCTGATATAAATCACACATTTGTTCGTGTTTCTCATCATCAGTGAGCCAAAGCTAACATTACATAGTATGTTATTTCCCTCCAACCCTTGGTTGAGTCTGCAGGCCCAGGAAGGGAGGAGGGACCGCCGTCTGCCTTGTTTTCTGTTCTGAGTGTGTAAGACCATTCTACTCAATGCCGCTATGGGAAGGGAGTATCTGTTGTGCAAAAAATATTTAAGAAGCTTTCATTTTGGACTTCATTAATTAGCATGACTACACTTAGTCTATGGTGCTGGTTTTCCTTTCAAACCCAATATCTGTGAGTGTAAAGTTCTTAGATTTGCTCACTTAGTTGTGGCCAGAAGAAAGCCATGGAATTCAGGTTCCCCGACATCTGGGATGCCCGTTTCTACACACTCGGCTTCTGTGCTGCTGCCTCGTGTTAGTTGTTTGTTGATATGCTGATTTTGCTGTATATTCAGGATGCCTTTCCCCTCTTGTGCCTGATTCCAGGTCTCTGGCAGGCCCAGCTCATCCTTCTGTAGATTTTGCATCACTGTTTAAACTCCAGGTGTAGTCTTTCCCGAAGTGTCACAGGCCGTAATTCTAGGGATGCTGAAGATGTTGGCAGGGGGTTCTATACGCACAGACACCTGGTCACCACTTGAGAGCTGAAGCTCTGAGGTTGTTCCTTTTGACTCTTCCTTCTCACCGATTCACAGTACAAAGCGGTAAAGAAGCCATGCACAGGAAGCCAGGAAAAGATGTGATCCTTGGGTAGGTGGGGCGCAGAGCGTGGCAGAGAATAGACTGGCTTGGGAGGGGTGCTTTGTGCAATTACATGTGTTTCCTAAATGTTCTGATACTTCTGGGGAGGGAGGGAGGACTCCACCTCAGAAAGGCTGCTTTGTAAGGCTCTAGGACAGATGGGGAGCAGTAAGACTTTTCCTTACTGAAAAGTCAACTCAAACAACGAGAAGGGAGTGCTAACTGAAACACTTACCTCAAACCAAAAAATGTGAGAAGGGCATCATAGGGTTGTGGAGGCAGGGGGCAGAGGATAAAACACAAGTCAGTTCCCTCAGTAATTCCTTGGTGGCTCTTGGCCAGCTTATTCAAGATTAGAACTGGACCTTTTTGGATCTCAGACTTCTCATTTGGAAATGAGAAGTTTGGACTGGAAAGTTTTCATGGTACCCCACCCCCCACACCCCCAACTCAGGCTCCAAAGATCCACTTTTTAAAAAATTTGTGGCCCAACCAGCATTTGCTTCTGTCTAGTTCACTAGTTGATAGCGATAGTAAGGACGCCAAAGGACTGAAATGAAGACGAGCTCTCACACAGACTTTTTTTTTTCTGCTGTAGAAACCAATCTTGGATTGTCTCACAGTCACTCTGTGCGGTTGCGGCACAATGTATTATTCAAGTAGTTGAAATTTCCAAATCACATCTGCCTTTGCTGATTTGGCTATAGAACATAAACACAGCCATAAGCTAACCACTTGTTTCACTTAAAACCACAGAAAAACCATCCAACAATGACAAAATTTTATTTCTTCTCACCAAATCATGCAAAAAAGCAAAGGTATTAATAAAAAGTAAGTGCAGGGAGAGCTAGTCGGTGATCCAGATATTTTAAACATCCTGGTATTTGGAGGCATCTGGATAATTCACAGCTTTTTTTTTTTTTTTTTTTTTTT